ATGATCACTCTTAATTTTTCGAACAATGTTCTTCAATGTTGTTTCCATCTTTTTGATAAAGTCAATCATGATTTGTGCAACTTCAGATTTAAGCCTGAGAAAATAAACCCACGTAAATCTGGAAAAATCATCAACAATAACTAAAATGTATCGTTTCTTGTTGAGAGTTGAAACAGTCGAAGGACCACACAAATCAATATGTAAAAGCTCCAGAGGTGCGATAATTTTCGAATCTATTGTAATTGGATGACCTTGTTTATGTTGCTTGCCAACTTCACAAGCTGCACATAAAGAATCATTGTCAAATTTAAGTACAGGTAAACCTCTTACCAGATCTTGTACCACAAGGTTATTGATGTTTCGAAAATTGAGATGAGAAAGTCTTCGATGCCATAACCAACTTAAGTCTGCTGCTGCTTTCGAAAGAAGACATATAGCAGGTTTCCCTACTATCGGATTGATATCCAAAGTGAACATGTCACCTTTCCTTTTGGATTTTAGTAACACTTCTTTTGTGTTGACATTCGAAATAACACTTCCTTCTTCGTTAAAAAGAACTTGATTGCCAGTGCCCACAACAAGTTGAGAAACACTTATCAAGTTATGTTGAAGACATTCAACATATGCCACACGATTCACTGTGAATTGTCCATTCGTGATCTTCCCATATCCTTTGACTTGACATTTTTGATTGTTCCCAAACTTCACTACTCCAGCATTTTTGAGACTTCGAAAATCACGTAAATTCTCCTTCTTCCCAGTCATGTGACGAGAGCAACCACTATCGATGTACCACTTGTTATCATATTGCTCGTCACATAGTACCTACATTCAATGGAAAATTTTAGGTACCCAAGGCTTTTTGGGTCCTTGGAAATTAGATTTCAATTTCGAATGCAATGAAGAACTTTTAACCCAATCACAAACTTTTGTTTTGAGACTATCAATTAAGTTTACATCTTCATTTAAAGGAACCGAAACATAAGTTTTTGATGGTTTCGAATGTTCACTGACATTACCCTTCGAATTCTGAGTTTGTGAATGAACATTCTTTGCTTTTATTACTGGTTTCCAAGCTTTGACTGAAATGTTCGAATCCTTAGACGATGAACTGCCATTTGATGAATTATTCATATACTTTTCATATGCTTCGTGAATTTGCTCCTTTGAAAATGTATTTGACTGATACATCTTTCCTTTGCCTTCAAGCCAATGATCAATGTTCTTCCTTGACGTTATTCCTTTTTCTCGTGAAGTTTTCATAGTTTCTTTCTTCGTTTGATTTGGAAAATTTGGCTTTTTAGGAACAAAATCAACTTTTGGATTTGTTATAAAAGATTTAGCATATGAATTATCAACTGTTGATTTAAAATGTTGACGTTGAAAGAATTTTTGATTTGGATTTGAGTTATTTGAAAATTTTCTTGGAATATTAGTTTCTGAAACTTTCGAAAACCTTGGTTGATTATTCACTTCAGACTTTGAATGATTTGATTGAGATGAATGTTGAGGTTTTGTTGAAAAAGATGAATTTTTAGCTTTGAAAACATTTTTGGGTGATTGTGATTCAGACACCTTTTGAGACTCAACATTTTGCCAAAATATTTTCTTTCTTGCTTGTCTTTTTGAAATGTTGTTTTCCTTCGAAAATTTGTCAATTTGATCTTTGAATTCCTTGGAGTTTAATTTGACAACTTTTTCACATTCCTTTTCAACTTGTTTTGAATTCTCTTTTTCAATTTTTGATTTTTCAACCCATTTTCTTTGTGGTTTTTGACGTTGGAAAACATACGAATTCTTTGTTAAGTTGTTTTCAACTGTGCTTTGATTTGCGAAAAAGCCTTCATCAGTTGTTTTTGAATTATCCTCTTCAACTAACTTCTTTAATTCTGGTTTGATTTTCTCAACATTTCCAGTAGTTACGAAAACTTGATTTGGAAAAATGACATCATCTGTACATTTGAAATTTGGATAAACCACTGTATTCGTTTCAAGATAGTGTTCACCTTTTTCATTCATCACTTTTTCGAACTTTTGTGTATCACCATACACCTGATCAACCACTATTCGTGGATTTTCTTCTTCCTTTGAAGATTTCTTTTCCTTCGAAATTTTCTCTTCATCTTCATCATCACTATCATCAGTTTGACTGTCTTTGATATCCACGAAGTTCACATCACTAACTTTCTAAGTTGAGGGTATATCAGTTTCATTTTCAACCATCAAATCCTTAATTTTTTTCTTTCCCTTTAGATGTTGATGCAACATTAATAACAGACAACTGAGAACAATCAACATCTTCAAGTTCCCTAATTTCACTAATATTGTCAGAATTATCTTCAATATCAGCAAAATTAGATTGAGAATCAGATGTTAAATTCTCAGTCTTTTTCAAAATTTGAATTTGTTCAATTTTAGTCAACGTATCATTCACGATGTTAACTAATTCATTTGCATCAAGACATTCATCAATTTTGACAATTCCATATTTATATCTATCATCAGGAACTTTGTCAAAATCAGCTATTATTTGCTCACAATCATACGAAATATTATCTACCTTAGCTCTTTCGAATGCTAGAAAAGGTAGTAATTTTCTATGTTGCTCTTTACTTATGTCACTTGAATGATGTAAATCAGTTAATTTGCCATAAAGCCTTTTCACAGAATTACAGTAAATGTTTCTTTGTTGGCTTCATTACTAGCAGACACAACAATTGAATCAAAATAAGTAACCGTTTCATCAAAAGATATTAGTTCAGAATCATAAGCATGAGTAGGAATATTAAAAGATTCGAGAATTTTACGTACATTTGTTGTCATTGGAGATTTATCAGCCGCTTTGGATACGAAGCATCGTCCCCTCACTTCGAATTCCTCATCATCTGAGTCCTCCTCCATTTTCGCATACAACGCTCCATGTGTCGGATTTCGCATTTCTTCATCATCTGATCCAGATGACCAGATTTGATAAGTTCCATCTTCATCCTCATGCTCACCCTTTGCAACCAATGACAAATTCTTTGCTTTAGCACGAACCATCTCAAGCCTCTCTGCATAGTATGCCTCATCTTTGACTTTATTCTTCCTCTCATCCTTCTTTCGAAGCATACAGTCATTTGCAAGATGATTCGCACCGTTGCAATAATGACAATCTATTCCAGCATCACCTTTCAGCTTCTTCTCACCCTTTCCTTCAGCTATCTTCGAATCTTGCTTCTCAACTTTCTTTTTCTCCTCAACAACATTTTTACTCACAGAACTTCCTTTCACCTCAGCAAGCTTAGTCTTCGAATTGAACGGCTTTTTGAAAAATTTCTTAACACGATTATTCGAGTAAAATGCTATTGCTTCATCGTCCGAATTCATGATGAATCCTTCTTCTTCCTCATAATCACTATTTTCAGCTTCTTTCTCCGAAATCTTTGACACAAGAGCTAATGGACCTCCCAAATTCAACTTCAATTCCTCAGCAATTTCATTTACCTCAATTTCGTGTGTTTTCAACTGAGTATACAAATCATTGAGAGTTGGTAATTCCATAGCGATTGCAACGATAGATTAACTCGTTCAGACGATCATAGTAAACTTCATATGTTTCTCCTTCTTTTTGTTTGAAATCTTTCAGTTCAACCAAACACTGTTTGACTGAATTGATTTTTGTTTTCTCACTTCCTTGAAACTTATCTTTCAGATTGTTCCATACCTCCTTTGCAGTTGTACAACTTCTAACGTAATTGTACACAACTGGAGGTAAAGCACCTCGCAGTTCCCTCATACACCTCTTCTCCAGTTTCTTCAGACGATGAGATTGATTATCAACTCCAGAATTTGTAGAAGATGATCCAATTGGTTGAACATTCACTGGAACATTGACATTTCCAGTGATACATGACCATAATTCTTCATCCAGACCATTCAGATAATCCTGCATACGATCAAACCCACTGATCATAGTATTCAGGGATTAGCATTGAAATTTTGGTTGATGAACCTAATAGATGAGAAAACGAGGTCATCGAATTGAGATTGAAACTCGCCATTGTTGTACGGAAGTTGATTTTGAGAAGTTTGAAAAAATTTGAGAATTTGAAAACAAACTAGATGAATCAAATCGAATTGATGAGAATAACACTCGATTCAACAATTCAAATGCAGAATCAAATCACAGACTAAGATCTAGACAATTTTTCACTTTCAAAAAGTGCGGAAACTTTTGAATCAAAAAGTTGATTCAAAAACCTTTTGAACAGCGTGAAAATCAGATCAGAGATATGATTCCTGCTCTGATACCAATTGATGAACCAATGAATCGAGTATTGAATTAATCAGAGTACAAATTCAAGTATGAATGCAAGATTGAACACCAGATGTAAATATCATCTTGTTTCAGCTTGATTTACGCTTTCGAATGTTTACAGAGAAAATAGACAGGTCTGTAAAAACTCTTATCTAACTCTAGTAAATAACCCCTATTTATAGGGAACCGAAAGCGTACAAAAAAATATACTAAGGCATTGACTGTAAAGCTTCGAATAAAAGCGCCCTAGTAAAATACATTACAAAACATTTGAAGAGTACAAAATATATTTCGACTAATTACAACAATTCGACCCTTACAGTCACGGTGGGAATTCATGGACTATAGGCCGAACTAGTTTGAATTTGGTTTTATATTTTGGTTTGACTATGTTAATGTGTTATGAAATACACCTTTTGAACAACTTTGTATTTGTTGGTGTGTTTTAGTTGACTCCTATATGTTAGGATGTCTTTTGTTGAAGTAGTTTTGTTTTCAGTTAGCTAGGTGACATGTATTTTCGACATGGTAATAACTATTATGTATTTAGTATGCTTTTGTGTTTAGTTGTTTACAAAATGGATGCATTCTATTTTTTCTTTACAAGTTTATGTACATGAACAAATCCATAATTGGTCAATACATACCAACCTTTCATTACCATTAATTTGCATTACAACAAAGATCTACATTTGCAAAAACCTACCCAAACCAGTTACATTTCCCATTTTTTGACAAAAAAAAAAACAAACTAGTTACATTACCTTGCATATAACCCTAACTTTCTACAAAAGATAACCCTAACATTTTTGGACTTACAACATGAACACCGAAACAACAGCAAAAAAGATCCAGCTATAAACTAGGTAATACTTCAGCATAGTTGCTTGTTCTTTGATCTTCTCTACTGCTCTTTCATGCTTAGTTGCTTGTTCTTTGATATCTTCCACTACTTTTTGCAGCTTATTGATTTTCCTAAGCAGCCCTGGTATTATAGCTTTGGAATGAGCAAACATGGGTTCCTCATACCAGCCAATAAACCCACATATTGAATTCTTGAAAAATAGAAGAAAAAAATATTAGATGATCGGTACCAAGGTCAAAAATCGATAATTAAAACTTACTTACCGTCTCAGGACATCCCCAAAATCGACGCCCTGGGTTGCAATATGTCCATGATGTTCAAATTATGGCCAACTCTTTGCAGAAGCACATCACCATTATTGTCGGAGACAATGAAATCACATAAGGGAGTGAGTGTTACGGCTTGTTGTTGGAGACGAGAATAGAGACGTTGTAGTCTGTTTATGAACTAAATATTACTAAAATAATAGAATACATGAATGGACTAAAATACCCTCACGTGAGGGGGCATGTGGAAATTAACGGGAGCATGGTAACGACTGTTATGCCACTTCACCAAACTCGCAACAAAACCAAACTATTGGACCACCCTTGTGAGCCCAAACTTTTTTGGACTAAACTTGCTAGTTTTGACATACCACAAGACCCATTCTTGCAATTTTGTCATTTTTAAAAAAAAAATTCTAAAAACAGTAAAAGGTTGCATGCTGACTATTTCATAAATTGACCCAAAATATTGGGTCTTTTATGCAAAAGCCAAAATATTTTGATGATTTCGTAAACTGTCACAGTATATATATATATATATATATATATATATATATATATATATATATATATATATATATATATGATAAATGTTTTAATATATTTTTACATCTTAAGAAATGTTTTTAAAGTTATTTTTTCATTTAAACATATTTATATGCATTATTAAATACATATATAAAATATTTAAATCAGAAAAGAACTTTAAAAACGTGTTTTATACATGTAAAGATAATGTTTTTATACATTTTTAAATGTTTTCATATATATATAAAGATAAGTTTTCGATGATACGAATATTGTATGGGTTTATGTGAAGATGGTGATGAAGATTGATACAAAGACACCCCTGACGTTAAGTGTTTTGAAGATTGATCTCTGGCTGTCCATCATACTTAAGTATTGTTTGGTCTATCATTGTACCTTTCTACTCTATAAACAGAGGGGTTAGGAGTTGTTCAAAAGTGTGTCTTGTACCTACATATGTTTTATCTAAGGGTGGAAATTCTCGACCCAACCTATAACCCGATACAAACCTAACATCGCCATTGGTGTCAAGTGCGTATCGGGTTACAAGTTAGGTTGAGAATTGACACCCTAGATAGAACATATGCGGGTACAAGACGCACTATTGATCAACTCCTAACATCTCTTTTTGTAGACTAAAAACGTACAACGAACAGACCAGATCATGCTTAAATATGGTGGACAGACGTAGATAATCTTGAAAACACTTAACGTCAAGAGTGTCTTCGCATCAATCTTCATCACCACCTTCACATAAGCCCACACAATTTGCATATCATCAAAGATTTATCTTTACATGTATATAAATGTTTAAAAAATGTATTAAAAAACTTACCTTTACATGAATAAAAAACATTTTTAAAGTTTTTTTTTATTTAAATATTCTTACACATGTATTTAATAATACGTTTAAATAAAAAAAAACTTACCTTTACATGAATAAAAAACATTTTTAAAGTTTTTTTATTTAAATATTCTTACACATGTATTTAATAATACGTTTAAATAAAAAAAGAAGTTTGAAAACGTTTCTTAAGGTGTAAAAATAATAAAAACGTCTTTGATATATATTTTGGGTCAGTTTATGAAATAGTCACAATATTTTGGTTTTTTCAAAAAAAAGTCTCAATATTATTGATTAGTTTACGAAATAGTTACAAACTAATTTGTTACCGGTTGAACCGAAAAAAAAGGATCAGAAAGCAACATTTTACCGTTTTTATGACATTTTCATAATAATAATAATAATAACAATAATTTAAGAGTTTGGTAAACTGATACACAATATAGAAACTTTTAGGAAGTTTCCCTTAGATACTAATCTTGGAATCCTAAGTCGAGTAGGACTTGGAGACCAAGTTATAACGGGACTTTAGCAAGATGGTTTTAGAGTCCAAATACAATTCTAATTACAAGTCGGTAGATTAGAACCTATAAATACATCTTGTTTAGCCATGTAGGGCAAGGGAGATTGTATTCACAAATTGTGTTTTGAGTTATTTTCTCATTTAATCAAAGAGATAGTTTGATTAATTGTTTGTGTTATACTTTTTGGACTTGAATTGGTATCAGAGCCAAGAACATAGGGCTTTGAGATCGATTTACTTACTTATTGAACAAGGTGGTCGACATGGCAGGAGATGAAGGGTCTTCAGGCGGTGCTCCGGTAAGGGAGAAGGAGATGGGAGCCACCTCGGTTCAATGTCCCATGCTTAATTCCACAAATTACACAGTTTGGTCCTTGCGTATGAAGGTTGTGTTAAGAATTCATAAGGCATGGAGTGTAATTGACCCTGGAACAGAAGACAATGAAGAGAAAAACTACCTAGCAATGGGGCTTTTGTATCAGGCAATCCCCGAATCCCTGATTATGCAGATCGGTGATGTGGATTCTGCAAAAGCGCTCTAGGACGCAATCAAGGCTCGACACATTGGGGTTGATCGTGTAAAGGAGGCCCGTCTTCAAACCCTAAGTGTCGAATTCGATCGGCTCAGGATGAACGAATCATAGACGATCGACAGTTTCTCTGGAAATTTGTCTAGAATTTCTTCAAAATCGGCAACATTAGGATCTGTAATCGACGAATCCAAACTAGTAAAGAAGTTCCTTATGTCGCTGCCATGAAAGTTCATTCATATGGTAGCATCACTGGAACAGATACTCGACCTAAATAAGACCAATTTCGATGATGTAGTCGGCAGGATGAAGGCATACGAAGAGAGGATCAGAGAAGAAGAATCTTACGGTGATGAGAAAGATCAAGCTCTGTTCGTCAAGCATGGTGCTTCGAATCAGTATTGGAGAAGAAATGGGAAGGTGATGGAGGCTCACGGGTCTGGTGCGACTCGGAACAAAGCACACGGATTTAATGGTTCAAGTGGATCCGGATCCTGTGGGTCGAATGGGTCAAGTGGATCAGGCTCAAGTGGGTCTAAAACAAAACAGGCCCAATGAGGAAGGCCTAACAACAAGAATCACCAATCCAACAGCAGGCCCAATTCCAACTATGACCCTAATCAGAAAAATAAGAATAAAAAAGACAGGTCAAAAATTATTTGTTACCGGTGCGATAAACCGGGATACTTTGCGTCTCAATGCCCGGACCGAATTCGAAAATTACAAGAAAGTAATTTTAACGAATTTAACGATACCGATGCGGCCGTATTTTTACACGAGACCATGTTTTTAAATGAAGAGAAGGTGATACCGTCTCGATACGACTCACAAGACAATGATGCGTGACATTTGGATAACGGGGCAAGCAATCACATGATGGGAAACCGGTCATTTTTCTTTAAGCTTGATAAAGATATAACCGGGAGGGTTAAATTCGGAGATAATTCGTGTGTAGAAATCAAGGGAAAAGGTTCTATACTCTTCCAAGGAAAAAGGGGTCAACAAAGGCTAATCACGGAGATTTACTACATACCGGATCTCAAGAACAATATTATTGGCCTCAGACAAGCAACCGAAGCTGGGTGTGATGTTCGAATGAAAGATAACTACTTGACCATGCACGATGCCGATAACTGCTTATTAATGAAAGTACAAGGAACTCCAAACCGCCTTTATAAAATAAAACTACAAATTGGAGTTCCTATTTACCTTCATTCGAGACTAAGTGAAGATACGTGGCGATGGCATGCAAGACTTGGGCACATCAATTTCGAGTCAATGAAAAATATTTCCAAGAAGGGTTTAGCCAAAGGGTTACCCAAATTTGATCATGAGAATCAATTGTGTGAGTCTTGCTTAGTAGGCAAGCAAACAAGAAAGTCATTCCCAACTATGACGACATACAAAGAAAAACGACCATTTGAATTGGTTCACGTTTATTTATGCGGTCCGATCACGTCGGCATCCAAGGGTCAAAATCTATATGTCTTCACACTAATTGATGATTTTTCATGATTTATGTGGATTTATCTCATGAAATAAAAGAGTGGGGCGTTTATACACTTCAAAAAATTCAAAGCTTTGGTGGAGAATGAAATTGGAAAGCCTTTGAAACTGTTTAGTAGTGGTCGAGGAGGTGAGTTTACTTCTCTCGAGTTAAATTCTTTTTTTGATCAAAACGGAGTCAAACGCCACCTTACCGCCCCATACTTTATGGACATGACACGAAGTATAATGAAGGTAATGCATGTTCCAAATTATTTATGGGGAGAAGTGGCAATCGTGTTTACACAAGAGTCCTTGGTGATACAACTCCATATGAAAAGTTGTATAAATGAAAACCAAATTTAGAAAATGTTCGTATATTTGGGTGTCTAGCACATGCAAAAGTTGAACCGGTGAATCTAAAGAAGTTGGATGCAAGATCAAGACCACTAGTGCATGTTGGTTCCGAACCGTGTACGAAAGCTTATCGGTTGTTTAACCCGGTGACACAAAAAATAATCGTGAGTCGAGATGTTATTTTTGATGAAACCAAAGGGTGAGATTGGATTAAAGAAGCAGGAACCAACAATGAATAACCGGGCTCATTCATAATACCATGAGACTAACCAGGCGGCGAGACGGAAACCAATCAAGGAAACGAAGTAAACAATGATCCAATTGAACTGATCGAATCAGAACATGGGTTTGGAGACGAAGGGGAAGTACAAGATAACGAACAACCAAATCCGGTTAATAATGATCAACAAGGAGTTGCAATCCAAAGGCCCTCTAGAACAAGAATACCTTTAAGACGATTTCAAGATTATGAGCTTGATCTTGATAATCTCGAAGAACTTCTACTAACAACCAATGATGAGCCAGTATCGATTGAAGAAGCAAAGAGAGAACGAGAGTGAGTCAAAGCCATGGATGCGGAAATCAATTCTATAAACAAAAATAATACTTGGAATCTCGTGAACAAGCCTATGGGGGTGAGGCCAATTGGACTCAAGTGGGTGTTCAAATTGAAGTAAAATGAAGATGGAACCATTAATGAATACAAGGCAAGGTTGGTTGCTAAAGGTTACGTGCAACAACCCGATATTGACTTTCAAGAAGTATTTTCTCTGGTTGCTCGAATCGAAACCATCCGATTTCTTATAGCCTTAGCTGCTACTCATGGGTGGGAGCTTCACCACTTAGATGTTAACACGACATTCTTACAAGGAGATTTGAAGGAAACCGTTTACGTATCACAACCGGAAGGCTATATAAAGAAAGGCAACGAGCATAAAGTATATCGTCTTACGAAAGCACTATATGGTCTAAGACAAGCACCTCGAGCATGGAACACAAAGCTTGATGGGATTTTAAAGAGTATGAAATTTCAAAAGTGCATGAAAGAATCATAGGTGTACCGGAAAAGTGAAGGATCTAACTTGCTAATTTTAGCAATTTATTTTGATGATTTATTTGTCACATGTACAAATTTGAGCATGATCAAGAGGTTCAAATTGGAGATGTCCAAGAACTTTGAGATGTCGGATCTTGGAAGATTGACTTATTACCTTAGGATTGAAGTTAAGCAAGATGAATCGGGGATTACTATAAAGCAAGAAGCGTATGGTCAATGCATTCTAAAAGAAGCCGGTTTACATGATTGCAATCCGACCAACATTCCAATGGAACCGGGAATTAAATTGTCAAATGCCGAAGATGAACCCGAGATCGACCCGACACAATATCGAAAGGTGGTGGGATGTCTTAGATATCTCTTGCAAACAAGACCCGATATGGCATATATGGTTGGAGTTGTTAGCCGATACATGCAAAGTCCAAGAGAATCACATGGCGGAGCGATCAAACATATCCTAAGGTACTTACGGGGAACAACGAAATACAAAATCAAGTAAGAGAGGATGGGACAAAGGCGACTTATTTGTTATAGTGATAGTAGTCACAATGTTGACCCGGATGACGGAAAAAGCACAATCGGTCACATCTTCTACTATGGGTCATCTCCAATAACATGGTGTTCGCAAAAGCAAGATATCGTTGCTTTAACATCTTGCGAGGTGGTGTTCATGGCAGACACGGCGACCGCATGTCAGGCAATATGGCTTCAAGATTTGCTTGGAGAAATCATGAACAAAGCGCAAGAGAAAGTGGTTCTTAGAGTTGATAACAAGTCGTTTATCGAACTAACGAATAATCATGTATTTCATGGAAGAAGGAAACATATTCACACGAGGTTTCACTTTATTCGTAATTGTGTTGAAAACGAACAAGTAGAGGTGGAATACATTCCAGGTGAAGAACAAAGGGCGGACATTCTTACCAAACCGCTAGCTCGAACCAAGTTCAAGGAAATGCGGAACTTGATCGGGATTGAAGAAGTCTGTAGAAAGACTTAGAGATTCGGGGGTGATTGTTGGAATCCTAAGTCGAGTAGGACCTGGAGACCAAGTTATAACGAGACTTTAGCAAGTTGGTTTTAGAGTCCAAATACAGTTCTAATTACAAGTCGGTAGATTAGAATCTATATATACATCTTGTTTAGCCGTGTAGGGTAAGAGATATTGTTTTCACAAATTGAGTTTTGAGTTATTTTCTCATTTAATCAAAGATTTAGTTTGATTAATTGTTTGTGTTATACTTTTTGGACTTGAACTAACAAAGTTTTTATAAAATAATATTTTATTTGTTAGTATTATCTTTGTTTCTTTAAGTTCGATTGTGCATTTACAATCATATATCATTTGTGCATTTATATCATATATCGTTTGTCCAATTATTATAACTCATGTTGGTTAGTTACTAAGAAAGTTTCAATTGGAATTTAAATATAGTGACTAACAAAGTTTATTATAAAACAATATTTTATTATTAATATTAGCTTAGTTCCTTTAAGTTCGTTTGTGCATTTACAATCATATATCGTTTCTACATTTTTATCATATATCATTTATCCAATTATGGTGACTCGTGTATGTTAGTTTCAACAACCTGGATCTTTGCTACAAAAATCAAATGACCACCCATGAGAAAGAATATTTCATAACCAAATGTGATCTTATGTTTAATTTGAAGCTACAACGAAAAGAGCTACGATTTTTAATATTGGTAGGCCTTGTCAACTTATAGTTATAAAGCTAAATGCATAATAATAAAAGCTAAAAACTAGCACAAATATGACTTATAAGAGGTCTGGTGCAAGGCCTAATTTTAAAAGTACTCCCATGGTACACGCTCCATCCTAGTTTTTGTATTACATTATCCTAGCATTGACCCACAGATTCAGAAAAAGAGTTATTAAATTTTTTTATTTAATTACAAGCACTAAATTATATTTATTCCCAAGCATCAATAAATAGTAAATACCTTCAAGGAAAAAGCAACACTGCGATCACAATTAAAAGGTAGCCTCCTCCCTCTCTCTGAACAACCACTTACCCAAAAGAAAACAATTCTCAAACTATTAAATCTAGCTATGACATAATTACAAGAGTATCTCAACGCAAAACCTATTTTTTGTGATAAAGTCATGATATTTCACACATTTACTGATTTGATCTCATCAAGTAGTTGGTTCATCATACATGATACACCTCCTGTGAGTAAATAAAAGTTTCATGACAATCCTACATACACTTACTATGAATTGTTATTAAACATAAACAAAGATCAATAACCTAAGTTTTTAATTCCATCAATGGCCAAAACTATAAGCTCCGCCCTCGTTATATATTTTCATTTTCTTGTATTTCATTTTGAAATATCATATGCTCGAATGTGTTTAGAGTACAAATTCACATCAAGAAGAATCTACAGTTCTTGTAGGGATCTACCCCATCTATCTGCACAACTTCGTTGGACCTACATTTCATCAACGGGCATAGCCCAGATCGCATAGCGGGCCCGCCAGGGTCCACGCGGGTGGGTTGCTGTTGGTGT